TGTGTGTGTGTGTGTGTGTTTAATTGCTCTTTTAGCTACTTTTGCCTGAACCTAACGCCGTAAGTGAAATAAGGCATTTCTTGAGTTGCTGTAATAATTATGCTATAAAACATATTTACTGTCTCACTCCAGAAAACAACAACAACAAAAGCCTTCATGATGGACAGACATCATGGACACCACAGCAGCAGCTGTCTTCACTGAAACATCCTTAAATGATCGTCACTGACATGAGGCCTCTGTCCATGGTTGAAGACGAAGGCTTCACTACAATGATCCACACTTTTAATCCAGGTTACAATAATCCACACTTTTAATCCAGGTTACACTCTTCCCTCAAGGACACATTTTACAAAGTAGCTACATATTGTGCAGGTATAAAGATACATTTGTATATATTTTTGTGTACATTTATTTTTTTAAGCTATTTGGCTAACTTTTATTTTTTTATTATTCAATATTTTACTAACACAATAGTCAAATAGCGACCTGTTTTTAGTGTGAATTGCTATGTCAGTCAAATGTTCAATTTTGGAATAAAGGGGTGGAAATTAAAACTTTTTTTTTTAGCCGATTCATCGATTAATCGAAAAATAATCATCCGATGAATCGATTATTGAAATAATCGTTAGTTGCAGCCCTACTATTAATTATATCTTGTTATTTTTTTACTTGATGCTGTGATTCTATAGCACTTTGGTAACAGCTGCTGTTTTAAATGTGAACCACTTTGGCTGTGGCTGCCTGCCTGGGAGGAGTCAACGGGGGACAGGACAGCCCTCAGAAACCCTCTTATCACTAGCAAACAGGTTGGTCCACTAAAGGAGTGTACTGCTTAGTGGGGAAAACAGTTTATTTAGGACTCCTTAGACTGATGACGCCCTCCAAATAGAGGGCGAAATGTCTTTTCACAAAAAAGAAACTGTCCAGATGATCTGACTGACTACTATTGGATTTTGTACCTGGATGATTAAGCATGAACTTTGATGTTTTAAATGTGCTTAATAAATAAATTTGACTTGAACTGACAACTTCATCGCACTCTCATTTTGAGCAAGCATGAATGCGACAATGGAAAGGAAAAACTCCCCCAAGAGGAAGAAACCTTTGGCTGAATCAGGCTCAAGACAAGTGGCCATCTGCTTCGACCAGCTGGGTTTGGTAGGAACAGATACACAATGGCAGGTCAAGAATCACATTAAGATAAAAAATAGTATCAAATGAAAACTGTTCAATTTTAACAAATCATTTAAGGAAATGAGGTCCTCTAGTAGTCTAAGCCTATAGCAACATAAGCCGACCCTAACTATAGGATTTATCAAAAAGGAAAGTCTTAAGCCCAATCCTAAAACTGGACAATATGTCAGCCTCACGGACAGAAACTGGAAGTTGGTTCCACAAGAGAGGAGCCTGATAACTGAAAGATCTTCCTCCCATTCTGCTCTTTGAAAGTTGATGAACTAAGAGGAGCAGAGGCAGGATTGAGGGCTGAAGAATGATGCAGAAGATGTTTGAAGTGATCATCAAGAATTTACATTATAGTTTTACTTTTGTTTATTTCAGAGTAATAGTTCTTTTATAGCTTTAAACCACCTCTGAGTATGACCTCAGGCACCTGTGTTGATGACAGCATACAAGTTGGACTTATGATTGCATCAACATGAACAAATATTCAGAGGTGGGTCTGAAAAAATGCAGAGCCATTCAGAAAAAAAAAAACATTCCCAAAAAGCTTAGAGAAGCTAAGACCAATCGCACCACAATGGTGCTCTACTGGCTGCAGGCTAGAACTACCTGAGATGGCACCACCGTTGACTTTAGAGAACGCCGTGATGGCTGGGGAGCCAATCAGAGAAGAGGTGGGCGTGGCCCTGGAGGCTGAAGACCAGTCATAAATGGGTAATGAGCATTTGTATTAATTAATTCACCAGTCATAGTCTTTTTTACAAATGAAGCAAGGCTACAGAAATGGTATGAGAAAGAAGTAGACTATCAAACCTGATGCAGACAGCTTCTATTGTATGATCTACATCTAGGACCAGAACTACCACAGGACCAGAACTGTTCCAATTAAATGGTAAATGGACTGCACTTAAAATGTGCCTTTCTAGCATCAAGATAATCAAAGAGTTTACAACACAATATGTGCCCTCATTTACTCATTCATACAGCACACTACTAGATCGATACAAAGACTAACCAGTGCTTTATCACATTCATACACAGATGGGACACACATCAGAGACAATGAGGGGTTCATTTTCAATTAAGATTAGAGCAGGGACTAAAGTTAGGATCAGAAGGATCTATGCTTGGAACAGTATGTCTAAAAACATAAAGGGGACTACTGTTACTACTCCTGAATCAGACTCAGTACCTCCATCCAGGCTACGGCTCAGCAGGTTCCTCTTGCTGATGCATCGTGTAAAGTTTGGTGCAGGTCTGGAAATCTGAGCGCTGACTCTACGACTCTGGATCTGAGTCCGTCCACTGTAGCGGAACTTTGAACCAAGAGACAGAAACTTTTTTGGTGGTTCCTCTGGAGACACTAGCCTGTGGAACAAATAGGTCATATATCTCCTGGTCACATAGTTCAATATGTTTGGACACAATGAGTGACTGACCTGAAGAAGGAGTGATGTTCCACACAGACCTTCCACAGCCGCTTTGCTGCTCTGTGATTCAGCAACTTAAAACCAATAATGGACTCAAACTGGTCAAACTGGTACAGAGAGACATTTGTCTTTCAATTAAAGCAGTTGGAGACGTTACACAGAATATTTTCTAACACTCTGAGCATTCGAACACATCCAAATAAACAAGCTGTTTGACCACCAGGTGTGTCAGTTTGGGTTACTTAGGCGTGTTTTAATGAAAAGTTTGGTGTCAAAACTTTATCGACGTGCAGATTTTTCTATGGAACAGCTGAAAAAACAGCTCACATCATCTACGTTAATGGTTTAGGATGAAATCAATTCAGTTTCAATTCAGTTCATATACATAGTGCCAAGTTACAACAGAAGTTGTCTCAGGGCACTGAACAGAAACATTCATAAATAAAAATAATTTTAACACTATTTATTTGAGGAGCAGACTGCTTTTAGTTTAACTCCATCATAGAACTCTCTTCTTGAGCAAGCATGAAGGCGACAATGGAAAGGAAAACTCTCTCATGAGGAAGAAACCTTTAGCAGAACCAAACTCAGGATAAATGGCCATCTGCTTTGACCGGCTGGGTTTGAGAGGAACAGGAAGGAGGAACAGATACACAATGGCAGGTCAAGCATCACATGTTAAAATAGAAATAGTATCAAATGAAAACTATTCAATTTTAACAATTCATTTAAAGAAAAGAGGTCAGTTTGTCCTCTAGTAGTGTAAACCGATAGCAGCATAACAGCATAAAAAAGTCTTAAGCCCAGTCTTAAAACTGGACAATGTGTCAGCCTCACGGACAGAAATTGGAAGTTGGTTCCACAAGAGAGGAGCCTGATAATTGAAAGATCTTCCCCCCTTTCTGCTTTTGGAAACCATAGGAACCGTGAGTAAGCCTGCAGTCTGAGAGGTGAGTAAGACTGCAGTCTGACAGCAAAGTGTTCCGTTAGGAAAATATGGAACAATAAGATCTTGAATATAAGATGGAGCTAGGTTGTTGCGAGCTTTGTAGGTTAGAAGTAAGATTTTGAATTCAATTCTGAATTTGACAGGGAGCCAATGGAGAGTAGTTTACTCTTATGTAATCAGTTTAGTTTCCCAAAGTTCTGTCCATGATCAGTATTTTTTAGTAACCCCTGTGGTTTCGGTCACTCCGTTTTTTCAGCTTAACCATCCTCAGGTGTTCTCTGCTTCTGCCACGCCCACTCTCACCTGTTCCCGTTTGTTATCACTAAAGTGTTAATTATTTAGTTTATCAGTCTGGCTCATTTAATTCATGCAGTGGACCATTATGCCAATCCAGGTTCATTTTTGTGCCCGTTGGTGACTCTAGTTTTGTTCTGTTGCCACTTCAACCTTTTATCCTGATGCATGCTCAATAATCCAGGTAGAAAAATCTAAAAAAGTTAAATCTGGTCCTCTGGACATTCAAAAAAACCAAAACAAAGCAAATCAA